ACCGGGACCGGGGACCACACCCGCAACATAAGAGAGTACCCCAGAACATCCTACCCGCAACATAAGAGAGTACCCCAGAACATCCTACCCGCAACATAAGAGAGTACCCCAGAACATCCTACCCGCAACATAAGAGAGTACCCGCAACATAAGAGAGTACCCCAGAACATCCTACCCGCAACATAAGAGAGTACCCCAGAACATCCTACCCGCAACATAAGAGAGTACCCCAGAACATCCTACCCGCAACATAAGAGAGTACCCCAGAACATCCTACCCGCAACATAAGAGAGTACCCCAGAACATCCTACCCGCAACATAAGAGAGTACCCCAGAACATCCTACCCGCAACATAAGAGAGTACCCCAGAACATCCTACCCGCAACATAAGAGAGTACCCCAGAACATCCTACCCGCAACATAAGAGAGTACCCCAGAACATCCTACCCGCAACATAAGAGAGTACCCCAGAACATCCTACCCGCAACATAAGAGAGTACCCCTGTATGGGGGTGTTCCCACATCCTGTATGGGGGTGTCCACTGATGTTTCCTATGCTTCTAGCCTGCGGCTACAGTATCGAATTGCCGATGCTTCTCGCCTGCGGCTCTAGAATCTAATTCTTGATACCTCGCGCCATCGGCTCCAGAATGAAATGTCTATGCTTTGAGCCTTCGGCTCTAGAATCCGTTTTCTGATGCTTTGAGCCTTCCGCCCACAATCTGTTTTCCTACGCTTCTCGCCTGCGGCTCTACAATCTACTCTCTATGCCTCTCGCCTTCGGCCCAACAATATATTTGCCTTCGCCCAAAATATCCAACAACATCCGTTCCGTATCTAATCTTTGGGGCTCTCTGATCTGGGTACTCCTATCTGCGTGTGTTTGCTAACCACCTTCGCCGCTCTGATATTTCGGTCTCTTACTTGCCTGCATATTCTCGTTACTACTCTGTTCTTACACTGTGTCCTTGGAAACGCTCATGCTGTTGCTCTCATGTTTCTACTACCCTTGGTTTCTACTCTCATCCTACCTCTCCCTGGGAAATTGTATCTTTTCGATCCAATGGTCGCTCCAAATCTATTATTTTGC